TCATATTACTTTGGATTTTGTTAGTCATTTTCCCTTATATGTACTGGATTCATAAGCCATTGTTATATGCAAAATGTTTAGAAAATCGCGAATCTAACCTCATTAGCTCATATGAGAAATAGGTTTCTGTAACCTTGAAAACAGAGATGGCTGCCCAACAGCAGGGATTTTGTTTAAACAGAGGGGCAGATGTAACATTGCAGAGTACCGGGATGATTTGAACTCAATACTTTTGATGTCGAGCATGAATTTATGTGTAAAAATCTTCTGTGTAATATTAGCAGAAATGTTGGCACAGGCACAAATGGGTGGGCAGCATAATATGTTGGACGTGGATCAGTACGTGCACTGCTCATTTATATTATGTTTTACATTTCAAATATTAAATGTTAAAATCTTTAGGTGCAACGATTTTGTTTCACTGAGGGAGAGATGAAAACCGTTGTTTAATGCATTTCAAGTGTTGATCTATTTGTCATGATATCAACTATTGATTGTAATATTCTGAAAAAGTGACTGTAGCCAAGAAATGGAAACACGAAAAGGTAGCTAATCTTGGATGGCAGGTCAAGATTAGCCTCGTGAAAACCTTAGCAATGTCAATAGTTTGACACTCAGCCATTGATTGATATTTGTGGTTTTACTGTTGATATGCATATAACTATAGCCTATACAATTGTGGAAGCAAGGGAAGGAAGCCAAAGGGGTGCGCGCGCTATGTTGCGTATCAGATCCTCACTCTGATACGCAACCTTGGACAATTTTTAAGTCCGAGCAACATAGAGGTGTGTTCGGGAAATTCTTGTGAGTTTATCTGTTTGAGCAAGAAAGGGTCATGGTTTCTATGTAAAACAAAATTAAAACTTAGTAAAACTTGAGCGAGTTGAGTTATGATTCCCTTTTAGTTCATTTCAGCCTAATCCATTTTGGCCTAAGTAACTCTTTGAGCGGCTCATTTTGACCTGCCTAATTTAAGCTCAACCCGTTCAATTTGACACCCCTATTCACATGTGATGTGATTCTGGGAAGTGATATGTTGCTTCTTCAGTATCAAAATGCCTCATTGTATGATACTGATTTCTCCACCTAATTCAAATAGCAAAAACACAGACCAAATAATACCCATCAGAATATATAAAAAAATAAAAAAGAAGCTTCAGATACATTATTAATTTGCATCTGAAGTGAATTCAAATCCGACCAAATGAATTCATTACAGAAAAGACTCCTAACAACATAAGCATCCTATAGCCAGCCGCTTCTTTCCTAAACAATCTCTAATAAAATCTACAAAAAATTGATACTAGAATAGTTTTGGCATGAAATTAAAATTATATTATCCTGAATTTGCTGACATAGAATAAGTGAAATCTCATGCAAGCAAGGAATCAAACATAGGTACTTTGAATTACAAAGCAAATCAATTACTCACGAATGTATATTTTTCGAGTTTCTCTCAATTTCAATCTTTGAATCCGGTTATTTAGTTCACACATTGTATATGAAATGCCTGTGTTAGCACGAGGTTGTGGCCACCCGTTGTTGACTGTTTTAGCTATACTATCTAAAAGTAATCGTGAAAACAATTTATTGAAACTCAACATGTTGGGCCCGTGCTCGAGCACGGGACATCTCCCATCTAATATATTTATGTAAAAACTATACAAAGCACATAGTATAATAAACAAATTAGTTTCTATCCCAACTCTTTCATAAATTATAAAATTCCCTTTATTTTATTGTTTTGCGGATACTTTAATATGCTGGCGGATACTTAATTTAGAAGCTGTAATTATCAGTTCAATGAGTTAAAAAAGGGATTTTATCAGTTTAGTGCGTTAAATAAGGGATTTAAAACAAAAATAAAAATTGACTGCCACAATTCATGCATACGTTTCTTTCATCTACAAATCAGTCATTCATAAAACGATTACTGAACTAAAATTTCAAATTTCAAATTTTGAAATTCGCTCTTCCTATTTTGCGAAAGCTCTGGAAGGCTAATTCAAAAAAAATTGCAGCGCATTTTTTGGTGAAGATTTGTAATGAATATTTCGATCTTGTTAAGGCATTCAGGAATATGGGAAAGTAATGTTAAATTCAAGCGATACAGAAGTGATGGCATAGTGGTTAGGGAAAATATTTCGTTCGTTAATCTTAATTCAGCAATTGCAGTAGAATTGAATGTTGATGAATCAAAAAAAAACATGGAGATCAGATACGTCGTAGAAGGTAATTCATCTCCATTGTGTATTCGGAATGATATGGGGGTGAAATTGTACATAGAAGTGAAGAAACATAAGGTAGGATTCGGTGTGTATCCACTATGCATTGATACATCGGATTAAAGTGATGAAGAGATACAAAATTTTGATGCAACAACAGGTGCAATTGTGTGTGTTGAAAGTGGAAAAAGGGACGCAAAGGCTCTAAGCATTGTTGAAACGAAAATTTGTGATTCCTACTTCATGATGCAATAAATGAAAAATGTTGTGTTTTGAATTCTGGCTACATTTTTTTATTGTTTAATTTATGATAAAGTTAGTTTGGTATGCATTGTTGTGTGTCTGATACTTAATTGTTTGTAAATTTTGTATGGGATAGAATAGATGTGATGTGTGCCAAAGTTAAAAGAGACAACATGTAAAAGAGATTTGAAGCAATTATATATCATATACATAATATCTTCTTCTAAATTCTGTATCTACTAATAATAGAGTATCGGAAGTTGTATTTTTTATCAATATTATATATCATATACATATAATTTTGATATTTGTGAACGCAATTGTGTTTCATGTACATAATAATTTTTTAGAAATTTAATATCAGCTTAAAAAAAGTTTGAGTAATTTTAGTATCAATTTTGTGTACTTGATACTTAATATCTTTGTAACGATGTTTGCCAAAGTTAAAAGAGACAACATATAAAAAAGGTATCATTTGAAGCAATGATATATCATATACATATATCTTCTTCTAAATTTTGTATCTACTAATAATAGAGTATCGAAAGTTGTATTTTTTACCAATATTATATATCATATACATACAATTTTAATATTTGTGGATGCAATTGTGTTTCATGTACATAATAATTTTCTGGAAATTTAATATCAGCTTAAAAAAAGTTATAGTAATTTTAGTACCAATTTTGTGTATTTGATACTTAATATCTTTGTAACGATGTGTGCCAAAGTTAAAAGAGACAACATGTAAAAAAGGGTATCATTTGAATCAATGATATATTATATACATAATATCTTCTTCTAAAATTTGTATCTACTAATAATAAAGTATCGGATGTAGTATTTTTTACCAATATTATATATCATATACATACAATTTTGATATTTGTGGACGCAATTGTGTTTCATGTAGATAATAATTTTCTAGAAATTTAATATCAGCTTAAAAAAAGTTAGAGTAATTTTGGTATCAATTTTGTGTATTTGATACTTAATATCTTCGTAACTTTGGCATGAAATAATAAAATCGTATCAATTTGAGATGTTTGAAGCACCTAAGTTTCATATACATAATATTATGTAAATGATAATGATTTAGTAGCATCTGTTGTGATTTGTACCAATCTTATAAGTACCATGTTATATGAAGAATAAAATTTTGTTATTTGTGAAAATAATTTTGTATCATATACTTGATAATTTTGTGATTCACTGTAGTAGAAGCTGTAGTGATATGTATAATACTTATAATATACAAAAATTTAATAAGGTATTAAAATGTATTGAAAACGAATTTAAAAGTGACATAAAAATTATGGACATAAAAACTCTTCAAAGTTAGAAGTATGAATTACTTAGCAATATAATGTTGACCTGGGGAGGAATACTCCAAAATACTTAATGTATCTTCAAAACAATAAAACTTTATATCTTGATTGTAAGTCAGTAAATAAATTAACTACTATTCTACATTTATCAGTTCATCATCTGTCAATGGAATGAAGACACTCTTTAGCCTTGTAGGATCATCATTCTCGCTAACGTACTCCGTCTTGGCTTTGTCGGTATCATATTTCCATAACAGTGTTGCATATCTTGAGCGAAGATAGTCACTTCGAAAAGGAATCGATGGGACCTTCATTTCGTCGCTCAGAAATTCAGCAAAAGCAGCTACATACGTTTTGCAGTACTCACTGCAAACAGAAAGAAGATACATTATAAATTGAATGAAATGTGTAAGTAAAGTTGGGTGGATACAATACTGACAGGTCTAAATTAAAAGCAAAAGAAATGCATATCATGGGTAGTGTTGGTCGAGAAATGGGAGGGGCAACCTTTCTACTCCTTTTCTTTTGAGTTTTTGCATCTTTGCTTTGGATGATGCCCCCACTTCCTTTTTCGATTTTCTCTTCATAGAAGCTTGATTTGCCATTAATGTCGGTGCATGCAAACTTTTAGACCTCTGTTCTTCCCAGTTGAGGTCTTCTGAATCAAAAATTTGATCATTATTAGGTGTTATTATTTGGGAAATTCCAATATTAAAAGATGAATGATCCATTTTGACAACTGATCCAAAATCGATTGAAACACAAAAATTGATTTTGAAAGAAAAATGAAGAAGATGATAATACCTATTTTGAACTTTGGACCGTTGAATAGAGATAGAATCGTTTGAAAATCAAATTGCTTTGAATTCGGTAACTGATTTGGTAGTGGGGAAAGATTAGAGGCGAGATTTTGGGGATGAGAAAGGTGGGTTTTGGGTTCTTTCAAAATAAAGTATCCGGAATAGAGGGTTTGGGGGAAAATAGGGATTTTTGAATTTTTATGAAAGAGTAGGGATTAAACGAGAATATGTAAACATATGTAGTGTAGTTTGGTAATTTTGCCTATATTATATATATAAAAGATCAGAAATAACTATTTTAAAAACAGAAAAAGAAAAAGTCAAAAATACCCTTACTTTGACAAAAATGTCCTCGGGAGACTAAACATTCCACAGTACAATTTGGGGGAAATTCACTGAACAGTACTGAGAATCTTCCATAATTGCAGAGCAAAACAATCGTTTCATTTCTCAAATTTCTGCTACCAAAAATGGAATCTGAAGAAGATGAAAGCACCCATCAAAACTCAAAACGGAGCAAACCCATTAACCAGTCTCAATTTCCATCAACTTCGATGCAAGATTCAACCTTTACAACCCCCAATTTACCCGAAGAACTCATCACTGAAATCCTCAAAAGGGTTCCAGTGAAATCCCTTTTGCAGTTCAGGTGTGTTTCGAAGTCTTGGCTTGGTATAATCTCTAGCTCAGATTTTGTTAAAACCCATCTTAGTTTGTCTGCTAATGACAAGGAATACAAACACCATAGGCTTATGTTGAGTTTTGTTCAACCTGAATACAATCTTAAGGATTGTTCTCTTGGTTCTTTGTTATATGGGTCTGTTACTGAGGCGTTTGATTTGGATTACCCTATGAAAAATCCAGTTAAATCTGTTTGGATTGTGGGTTCTGTTAATGGGTTGATTTGTGTTGCTATTGAGGAAAATGATTTGTTTATATGGAACCCGTCGATTAGGAAGTTCAAGAGATTGCCGGATTCTAGGCCGACATTGAGGTGTGGTTACTATTTTATGTATGGTTTTGGATATGACGAGGTTCATGATGATTATAAGGTAGTGGGTATTTTCTGTATTTTTGGTGCTGGTGGTTCGTATGATGTTGAGGTGAAGATATATGGTTTAAAGAGTGATTCTTGGAGAAACGTTGATGATTTTCAGGGTGGGGTGTTGTTGAATGATTCGGGTAAGTTTGTGAAGGGGAAGCTTCATTGGGCTACTACTGCTCGTCTTGGTGAGTATAATGGCTGGGATATCATTTCTATTAATTTGAAGGATGAGAAATGGGGAAAGATAGAGCAGCCCTGCTATGAAAAAGGGAATTTTGATTTTGTGTTGGGAGTGTTGGAAGATAATCTTTCTGTGCTTTGTAATTATAACAAAACTCGGGCAGACGTGTGGGTCATGAAGGATTACGGGGTTAAAGATTCTTGGGAAAAAATGTATACCATCAGTTGTCCTAATGACCCTGGGAAGTATATGTTCTCTCCACCCCTTTGCATGTCAAAAAAAGGTGAAATTTTGCTCGTGTTTGGGTCAATTTTCATGATATACAATCCCAGTGATGATTCGATCAGATATCCGGAGGTGACCAACTTTGATGCCTGTCTTGAGGCGGAAATCTACACTGAAAGCCTAATATCTCCCATTTTACAAAATGAGCCAATTCCACAACAACAATGAAGGCTGCAAAAGCTCAGATGAATGACAATCCCGACTTATGACATGTAAGAGCTCTGCATAATACATTTTTCAACTTGTGTTGTTCTATTTGTTTCTTTTGTCAACTATTGAATAAGATATTGCATATGCAACATCATTACAATTGTGGTTCATAGATATCTTGTTTGTTCTTTCTCCTTTTTGCATAGTTCCATGAAACAGCTTGTCGCAACAACAATTATTTGGTTATAGTTTTTAGTGTTTACCACTTAATAGGACTTTGTTTTTCTCTTCTTGAGAAGTTCTGTAAGGTTTTTTTTACATCTAGTCAAGACAAACTAAGCATAAAGACCATCAGCGACACAGAAATCATGGCAGAGGAATCTGTGTAAACCTTGACAGGGGTATATTTTTTTTGATCCAGGGCCTACTTTTACTAGTCTTTAGGTGAAACTTAATATGGATAAAAGAAAGTACGGGAATTATGGAATAAGAGTTAAAGTAGGATATACTATCCAGTTTTGGTGTTCCTCCCTGCTCCTCATAGCGTACTGCTAATTTTCTATTGTCTTCTCATTCTGTTACATATTTGTTCAATCAATGGCTGAATCTTCTTTTGGTTGATTTGAACAAAAGTGAGTTGGAAGGAGAAAGCAGTTGAGGAAACATATTTAGCTGTTATGATCAGTCACTAGCGTAGATTGGAGATACCAATGAACAGGAGAATGTTGAGAAATAAATTGGGATTTAAAGCTTTGTTTAAGATGGTTCTGTCTTCAAAGTTACTAATGTACAAAAACTTTTCATCTTCATTTTTTTGGATAAGAAGTTTCCCTGCTATAAAGAACTCTTTTATCTTTGTTTCTAAATAGAACGGCTGATGTATATGCAACTGGACCTTTTTCAGAATTCTTTGGTTCTATGGTTACGTATCACCAAGTGAGACATGAATAGCCTTTTTCGATGCATCATTTCAAGGGAAACTCTTATTTCGTTACGGTATCAACTATTAGTTGTGACTTTGAAATCTGACCAAAGTTAATGTAGCCAAGCATGTGGAAACAAGGAAACATATCTAATCCTTGTAGTAAAACAGTTTCAAGAATTTGAAACATGGGTTTAGTTATTGTTGTGGTTCTATTTCTTGATTTGCATCCTCTGTTAGACACTAAACAGAGGTAAGAGGGGAGAAATGAGACGTAGCCAAGGTAACTTAATTGTACATTTTAGTGGAAATAATACGAAGGAAAAAGATTAAAACTCCCACAGGTTTGCATTTGGAAATTCTTGCGAGTAAAATTTGGAGGAGCTAGGCAGGGCTATGCCTTTTGTGAAGTGCTCCAGCTCTGAATCAAATAACCTTTTGGGAAGGTCAATATGTTGCATCCACAACATGAGTATATCTTGTGACCCTTTCTTAGTTTTTATTTTCTTTTGGTATTTATAGACTACGTGTACCATTTGTGCACCGCTTTCATGCAGTCTAGACTTGAAATTACTTAACTACCTTATATTTGTTCATCTTCACTGTTTAGAACGTGAACTGAAGCACCTTTGACATTTCTTAAATTTTGGGAAATGGAGCTAGTCTTTTTTGCTCAAATAAGACCAGCAGCTCGTGTTTAGTGCATGTTAAATGTAAAATGTGCCAGAGCTAGCTCTTCATGTGTTGCTTTCTAGATCTACCTTGCTTTTTTCTTTTGTCATATGAGATGTCAATGAGGTTTTTGGTTAATTTTTCTGTATTTTGAACTTTCAGGAAGTGAAAAAGCTATGTATGGAACAACCAAACAACTAATCCACCACCTGTAACTGCGTGGAGCGCAATGAAGAAACGCGGGCTTTCCCTGTTTTTACAGTTCATTTGTGATGTACTAATGTTATTACTGTGTGCAATGTATAGAGCGAGACTTACCTACATCTACTAATTGTATCTCACATTGTTGGTAGTTTTAAGCTTCTCCTTCCGTTGAACGTCTGTTGTATGTATATTGATCTGTATTAGAAGATGATATGTAATGTTCATCTTCCTAAGATTCGTATTTTACTCCAATTTTTAGTTATCTTGCTATTTTGTGGTCTGTATTTTACTCTCTACCCCTCGAAAGGTAAGGGTATGGTTTGTGTACATCAGGTTCTACTTATGGAATTACATTGGAAATATTGTTGTTACAATGTTCATCTTTTTCTCAAAAACCACATAGTTAGAAAGCCATGCTATCAGATTATCTAATTTGAGGAACACGAATCTAAATTGATCTTCAAGACTTCAACCATACACATATTTAAGAATTAATACTAGTGAGTTTTCATCTCTGCTTTACATAGCCAACCTAACTACTACTAATTTTGCAGGTGGCTATGACTTGCCTCCAACTCTATGCCGAGTTGGCTCTACAGACTTCTCGAGCACTTGAATTACCAGAAAGCTTACACATATCGAATAAGAGCATCAAAATGGATTACAACTTGAAAGTTGAAAGAAGCACAGATAAGATATTGTTCGCTAATATAACAGAAGTAAGTTCGTTCTTGACTTATTTATTCATGAATCTTCATGTTTTTTTCACTCATCTGCAACTTTGACAATCTTTTTGCCCATATTTTCGCCATTGAACAGTCCAATGAAAGCAGAGGGAATGCTTTCAACGCCTCGTGAGATATCTTCAATGGTCTTGAGTTTTCCACCTTTGAGGTACTCAACTGTTTTCGACAGGAACTCAGCATACACATTCATGAGATCAGATGCTAGGAATCCTTTGATGGTAATCCTTTTGTAGACTATATCCAACATCTCTGGAGCAGCTCGTGTTGTAGCATTCGTGTACTCAGAAATAACCCCACAGACAGCTACCCTGCCGAATGAGTTCATGTTTGCTACTGCTGCTTCTAACATCCTGCCTCCCACGTTGTCGAAGTAGACATCAATCCCTTGAGGGAAACACCTTTTCAGAGCTGATTTAAGGTCAGTTTCTTGTTTATAATTGAATGCATCGTCGAATCCAAGCCTCTCCTTAAGAAAATTTACCTTTTCTTGACTACCAGCAGAGCCAACAACATAACATCCAAGTAATTTAGCATACTGTCCTACTAAATGCCCTATCGAACCTGAAGCAGCAGACACGAAAACTTTCTCCCCTGGCTTCGGTTTACACACTTCGAAGAATCCACCATAGGCAGTTAGTCCACTGAATCCTAAAACTCCGACATGGTAAGACAACGGAAAGCCCGTGTTAGGATCCAACTTATTCAACAACGAACCTTCCTTTACTATACTATACTCTCCCCAGGTAAGTAACCCTGCTACCAAATCACCTTTCTTGAAATCAGGTCGATGAGAGAACAAAACTCTTCCTACACCATAACTGTCAATGGAGTCACCAGGACTAATGGCAGTTGCAAAACTTATGGTTCCTTGTGACGAACTTTGGCTCTTCATTCGATTTATCTGATACGGATCAATTGACACAAACATGTTCTTGACAACAACATCCTTAAACTCAGACTCAGACTCAATGATAAGTGAGACGTTTTCGACTTTTATCTCAAAGTCTGACTCTTTTGGTGCACCATTTATGTTGGTTTTTATTGTTACATACTTGTTCTTTATTTCCATGGTAACTTTGGGATTGGCAAAATGTTAACAAAGGGGAAGAAAAAAGTTGAGAAGAATGTAATGTGAAATGCTCATATGGCTCAATAATTTTAGGTGCTTATATTTAAGTTTTTTTTAGAAAAATGACAAAGTGCATAGATGCTTTTATGCCGTCTATAACAACTAAGTTTTTCACAAGCATCAAGATTGTCAGTTTACGGCCAGAGGCGGAGCTATAACTTTTTCGTAGACCCTGTATTTGTACTAGAAAACTAATTAAATATATATGTATATTAACCTGTGAACCCCTAACAAAAATTAATTGACGGTTCAGTAAACTCCTAAACTCTTAATCATGATTCCGCCTTTGTTTACGACAAGAAACTCTTCTTCAACATACCTACTTGCCGACCAAGGGGAAAATTCGGTATTATCAAACATAATCACTGTAACTGACTGACTTGTACCAACTGCTATCATGATTATTTTATTGCTCTGATTTGCAACACATATTTATGTATTTATTCATCTGTCCTTTGTCAAAATATACTATATTACTTTGACTTATGGACCCCACTATCTGCTTTTTTACAAAGTGTGGCCCTTGAATGTGTACTACATTCGTTTTTTATGCAACTTTTTAAATTGATTCATCCAATAAATTGGGGCTATTAAAATTTTATTTGATAGATATTACTTTTTTTTTTTTTTTTTTTACCGTGGTTTCCGGGCGTCGCTTTGCGAACCCGACTAGCTATACCCACCGGGTCCCGCTGTTTCAAGGCGGGTCCACCACGGTTAGTTCCACGGGGCCCTGGAGACACGGCCGGTTTGTAATGCCTCCAGTGGCCCTGCTGGGGCTCGAACCGGCGACCTGAAGGACTTTGTCCCAGGCCTTTACCAGCTGAGCTACCCCTCAGGGTTATTTGATAGATATTACTCTAGCATATCTAAAGTATTTCAATTTTTTGAGTTTCATACTTGAATTACAAAGTATGTGAACTCAACAATCAATTATTATTTTTTTCTACCTGAATGACGGAGGTGATAATAGGAAAAGAAAACATTTGATAATTAAGATATGTTTGATGTATAGTTAGTGAATTTTCAAATGTGAAACTCAATAAAATAAGATATTTAAGTGGATTTTAATGGTTGTTTGTTTTGTTTTAAACATGTCCTTGAGATTAACGAATGGCAAAATCTAAGAGTTTTAATTGCCACGTGGCATCATCATTTAAATATTCCACTTGCAATCTTTTAATATTAATGAAACCCACTCATTTTCAATACGCTGGAATTTTTTTTACCCTTTTCAGTTGTAATTATAATTATTTTTTCAATATTTTTCGAGGAAGAGAATTAATATATGACCTCTTCGAAGCTACCACCGCTACATGGTATAATATATAGTTATTTTCATACTCAAAAAATTATTCTCTTCCGTTTGATATGATGAAAGTCAGTTTTTATGGAAAAAAATTTCCTATCATAATTATCTTCACATGCAAGAAGTTAGAAGTCCTTTTCAATGCTGAAATGACTTCCCTTGCTATATGGGTGTCATTTTCCCAATTATTAATCTTTAGCACTCCAAATTTCATCAAAACACCCTCTGATTTGATATTGTTATTATTTTTGTAATATACATATTTTTGAAAAGTATTTTTCACTCACCAACAAACACCGGAAAATGACTTTTTTCACTCACCAACAAACACCGGAAAATGACATCAATGTCCCAAAAGTATGACGGAGGGTATTTGCATACCATTTACGATAGTTCAGGGTATATTTGTCTTTTTTCCCTTTATTTAAAATATATAATAGAGTAGAGCGGGTAACGGGTTGTTTTCGGTTTTCTCGCTAATACAAAAGAGTAGAGGTATTTCTGAAATTTGGCAAGCCAAAAGTATAGCTTTTGGAATATATTCCAATGCAGCAAATATCAAAGTCAGTACGCTATGAAACTGTTTGGTATGTTTTGAATTATGAGTCTATTTTGATATACTGTAATTAATTATGACCAGCAAATAAAGTTTTTGGTGAAAAATAATAATCTTAGCAGATATATGTAAAACAATTGCAGTACTAGTGTTAAAATTTTTATCAAAAGAAGTTGAATGAAAATTCATTCTTCAAAGTAAAAAATATATAAGAAAATGGAAAATAACATAAATGGGGCGAGGCAGGTCTTAGCGGGGCGGGTTAGGGCAGGGCAAATTTTTGAAGGAAAAATTGTAGAAATCTCACATTTTAGTTTACTTATTATCATTATCTCCTATAAGTTTTACAAATCTCCAAAATTCCTCATTTTCGCGCATCAGATAGTGTATCATGTATAAAATGTACATCAGATTAGTGTATCTCGCGCATCAGATAGTGTATCATGTATAAAATGTACATCAGATTAGTGTATCATATATAAAATGTAATGTATCTTACTTAACGATTAATGTATCTCGCGCATCAAATTAATATATCAGCGCTTATATTATTGTATCCGTTTTGAGGGATTTTTGTAATTATAAACTTTTAAGGGATAGATTGTAATTTTGCCTTAAAAGTATGTGATTTCTGTAATTTGCCCTTTTTAAAATAATGTTAAACGGGGCAGGGTAGGGCGGGTCAAAATCTTGGTAGGTCAAGATCTGCCTTGCCCCAATCCGCCCTAACCCTCCCTATTTGCCATTCCTATGGCACTAGGGGTGTAGTGACGGTGTACATAGGTCGATTTGGTTAGGTTTTTCATAAAAAAAAAATCTAAACCAACTATGTCGGTTTATTAAATCTAAAAACCAAATCAAACCACATAAAGTCGGTTTTTTTGGTTTCGGCTTTAGTCGATTCTTTCGTTTTTTTATTTTTTACAACTATACGGTATTTGAAAAATAGATCAAATATTTTTTCACTTACCTGTGTGATAAGCTAAACTTAAAAAAAATGTTAAATGAATAGAAATTTTCGAAAAGATGGTAAAATTCGCATGAGTACAAAATAATTTTTTTGAAATATCAACGTTCATTATGTTAAATTAATAGGATTAAAGGCTAGAGGCAAACTGAATACAAAACAAAATATTTACAAAGTAAATTGTTAACTTCGAATTTGAAAAACTATAACAATATAATTGTAACTTCGGATCTTAATACAAAATAAAATATTTACAATTTTTACAAGCCCAAATTTGAAATAAAATATATAAACATTGAAAATTATAAACTAACTAAAAATATATTAACAAAGTAGATTATAAATAATATTTTTTATCTATAAATAAAATAAAATTATATATATATAATATTTACAAAATTTTACAAGCCCAAATTTGAAATAAAATGTATAAACGTTGAAAACCATAAACTAACTAAAAATATATCAACAAAGTAGATTATAAATAAAAATTTTTATCTATAAATAAAATAAATAAATATAAATATATATATATTATGTCGGTTTGACTTTTTTTCTTTTAATACCAAACCAAACCAAGAGTGGTCGGGTTTTTTTTTCAACCGCCAAACCAAACCACAAATTGATTTTTGTCGGTTTGATTTGATTCGTCGATTTGGTTTGACTTTACGGTTTGGCTTGTACACCCCTACCTTTCACTATCTGCTTTTTTTTACAAAGTGTGGTCCTTAAATGTTTACTACATATGCTTTTTATGCAACTTTTTAAATTGACTTATCCAATTTGTGTAGCTATAAATAATTTCATTAAGGGTAAAATGAACATTTTAAAGTTAAATTATTACTCCCTTCGTTCCATTTTATGTGAGGTAGTTTGACTCAGCACGGAGTTTAAGAAATAAAGAAAGGTTTTTAAAATTTGTGGTCCAAAATGAATGATAGAAATTTGTGTAGCTGTAAATCATTTCAGTAAGGGTAAAACAGACATTTTATACTTAAATTGTTACTTAATATAGAAATGTTTCATTTTTTTGAGTTTGACTAAAAAAGAAAATAAGTCACATAAATTGAGACGGATGGAGTACTTAATATGAAAATATGTTAGACTAAAAAAGAAAGTAAATTATATAAATTGAGAATGGAGAGGCATTGATAAAGATCCACTATTTTGACTATTACTTCTTTCAGTTCGAAATCTTCAATTTGTAACTAATCAAATCTTATGATAAATATATATATATATATATATATATATATAAATATAATAACGAATAATGACTTTAGAAACAAGTATTAGTAGGTAGCATCACACATAGTAATTTTGTGATCAAATTACTTAAATATTAAGACCAAGGAAATAAATTACGCTCATATTTATTATAATTTTTAATATTAAAGAAGATAAGTATTATATTATCACAATATTTTTTTTCATGTATTATCACTTTCCTTTTAATTTGTTATATATTTAAAAATTATATGAAAATTATTATAAATCACAACAATTAACTATTTAAAATATCAAATACATATACATCAAAATTAACTATTATGTAAAAATTATTATAAATCAAAATAACAACTTAAAATGAAAAACATTTCTATTTTATTGTCTTTCTAAATTTTATCAGTGTCATATAAATTAAGACAACAAATAATAGATATTGAGCCCGTGCTGGCACAAGTTATCATATCTAATAGTTATTGAAATGAGAAAGAAGACAATGTAAGTGGCATCCTTGCCGCTCCAAATCTAGTACTAATTTGGTTATAGATTCACGTGAATTGATACCTTTTGTTCAAATTCGTTATATATACATATCAATAAATTAAAAGATTACTAAATATATTTCTGAGTTTAAGTAATAAAATATACAACTTCAGTATAAATAATTTTTACATCATTAAGTCATTTTTATCTGCGGTAAAAAATAACATATTTTATTTTTAATATTTTGGCGAGTGAATAGTTAAAAACATCTAAAGTATCTCAATTTTGTGAGGTTCATACTTGAACTACAATCTAGTGTGAGTATCTTATATGAACTCAACAATCAAATGTTTCCTTTTCCTACCTGAATGACGGAGGTGATAATAGGAAAGGAAAACAACTGATAATTAAGGTATGTTTGATAAATAATTAGTGATTTTTTAGGTGGAAAACTTGCACACCTAATAAGTTGAAACTCAATAAAATAAGATATTTAAGTGGTTTTTAATGTTTGTTTGTTTTGTTTTAAAATGGCAAAATCTATGACTCTAATTGGCAATTGCCACGTGGCATCATTATTTAAATATGCCACTTGTAATCTTTTAATATTAATGAAACCCACTCATTTTCAATACATTGGAATTATTTTTTACCCTTTTCCGTTGTAATTATAATTCATTTTTTCTCTATATTTTTTCAGAAAGAGAATTAATATATGACCTCTTCGATGCTACCACCGATACATGGTATGATATATAGTTATTTTCATACTCAAGAAATCACTCTTATGTTTGATATGATATGATGAAAGTCATTTTATTTGAAAAAAAATTTCCTATCATAATTATCTTCACATGCAAGAAGTTAGAAGTCCTTTTCAATGCTGAAATGACTTCCCTTGCTTTATGGGTATCATTTTCCCAATTATTAATCTTTAGCACTCCAAATTTCATCAAAACACCCTCTGATTTGATATTGTTATTATTTTTGTAATATACATTTTTTCGGAAAGTATTTTTCACTCACCAACAAACACAGGAAAATGACTTTTTTCACTCACCAACAAACACCGGAAAATGACTTGCATCATATCAAACACATGGTTCTTATATCTGATCAACCAAAAACATATAGTACCTTGATTTTGAAAGAAGATTGAGACATGTAGTTTCACAAGAACCTTACATTGATAATACATGTGACAATAGTTTAACTAGACGAAGCGCGAAAGTACAACATAGAATGCAACATAACTAGTAAATCTCCAGAAAGAACAACACAAGCATAGTAAGCTAAATTACTTATCACCAACACGAGGCGTAGGTAGGGTCTCGATGTTAGTAACTACTTGCATGAGTATCTGAGGATCTGTATGAAGCGTTCCTCGTGTTGTGAAAACTTGTATCTGTACCAACCTTCACTAAACCTTCATCACCATTCTCTTGACACAAACAAAGACGAGACATAACCCATATGACCATAGGGAGACCGGAGAAGAGAGACTATTCTTCACACCGTTCTCCTTCATCACCCATATATCCTTCCTATCCGGATAATAGTTGCAACATGCAACTATTATCCAACGGAAGTTTCCATTTCCACAACTAAGCAACGCCACTATCCCATTATACATCTTAGTAACCAAACTCAAAGTCATAATCTCCTGAGCTAACTACGTATCACCAACATTAGGCGAAGCTAGACTCTCATTGTAAGTAATCGCTTGTACTTGAAGACAATAACCCAATGAATGAATGTCCAATGATTCATGTGAAGCATTCCTCGCGTTGTACAAACTTATATTAGTACCAAGCCTCACTAAAACTTCACCACCATTCTCCGACACAGACAAAGGCGAGACATAACCTAAACGACCAGGGGGAGCCGTGAGATTAGAAACCAACTTAGTCCACGACTCCTCCACACCATACTCCTTCATCACCCACATATCCGTCCTATCCGGCTCATAGTTGCAACAAGCAACTAAACATCCATTTAAAACACTCAACGACCAACTAGTACTCCCATTTCCACAACTAGGCAATGCCATTACCCCATATGTCTCCATAGCCAAATCCAAAGTCATAATCTCCGAACAAGCACCAGAACCACCACCACCACCAGAGTCGTGACAATGGTTTACCTCCCAATGAAGATATCCATTCAAACACATCCCGGTTTGTGCATTAACATAACCACTACCAAACCCCTCACCCATTTTCCAAGAATCATCCTTTAAGCTATAAATCTTAACCTTATTCTCATATTTCCCCTCATTTCGCGGAAAACTAAAGATCTTAACCATCTTATAATCATCATTAACATGATCATAACCAAACCCATATCTAATATAACAATTTACAGCACATTGAACAAATGAATCTTGAAATTCCTTGTGTTTTCCAGTAACAGGGTTCCATATCATAAGTTTAAATGACATTGGGGTTAAACAGATCAACCCATTACAAGAACCCAAAAATTTTGCAGATCTAAAAGGGGTTTTTAATGGGTAATCAATTTTATCAACATTTACAGAGGAATTTTCATAATCTAGAGAGTAAACAGAACACATTTTACCCATTAAACCAGATACTGAAGCTACTATAACAAGTCTAAGATTCACATTTTTGGATTTTTTAACAGAAAATTTGATCTGGGTATTGATGAAATATGGAGTTGAGAGTAAAGAAAGCCAAGATTTTGAAACACACCTGAATTTCAAGAGAGATTTTACTGGTAACCTCAAGAGTATTTCAATGATGATTTCATCTGGTAGACATGAAAATTGAAGCAATTCTTGAGGAATTTTTGTTTCAGCTAATTGGTTTTGAGTTTCCATTGAAGCAAAAACACTTCTAGATTGGAGATGTGGAAGAGGTGATAAGAAAGAGAGATATGGGGAAGTGTTTGGATAGTGAACTTTTTGGAGCTCAATGCAAGTTGGAAAGTTAGTTGATCTAGAAGTTGTCGTGGATGATTCGGAATCGATTTTTTTCAGAACTTTCTGAGTCGAGTTTATCATATTGGGTTTATCTGATGTAATTTTCATCCTTATATAGTTTGAAGGTTATTACATAATAAGAAGTTTACCTAATACGTATAAAATATTCATCATAGAGTGCTCATTGAAAATACTGAGGTTATAGTGGTGTGCACGTTATCCTCTCAAGTTTCCGAAAAAAAAAGTGGAATGGAAATGTAAAATCTCAGCCATAAAGTTTTTTAGTACTAGTATGAGTAGGGTTCGAAAAAAGTAACATATACATTATCTCGTTCTTACTATTTTGAAAAGAATAGTAAGACTATCTCTGATAGATTCTTAGGAAGCGTTTGATAAGATGGATTAAAAAAATAACATTATGCGTTAGCTTTGTGTAGCTATACTCTATTTTGATATTATGTTAGGTATAACTAATACATGAGAAATTATTAGTCATGCAAGAGGTTTTACTGCATATTTAGCATGGATGTAGACATAATTACCACTCAAACGTTTTCTATATCCTTTTCATTGTATTTGTGGACGGTGTTTTTTAGTAAACAAATCATTTTAAAAAAAATTATGTAATACATATTATTTTTAATATGTCTAATCAAACGATATTTATGTAGACATAATTTATCACTCAAACGTTTTCTATATCCTTTTCACTGTATTTGTGGACGGTGTTTTTTAGTAAACAAATAATTTTAAAAAAAATTATGTAATACATATTATTTTTAATATATCTAATCAAACGATAGTTGATAGCCATATTAAATTTAGATTCACTCTTTGTCAAATTCATTTTTAAAAACAATATTTAATAAGATTATTTTTTCTTAGCTCAAATTTAAAATTATTAATTAAAAATAGAGGGGTGTGGAGTAGGTGAGGAGAGAGAAATGGTGGAAGTCTTTGGATAATTGACTTTGGAATTTCCTCCAATTTTTTTGGTAAATAGTTGTAAAAGACAAGTTCTTTTTGGCCATTATAATAAAGTTTAAATTTATTTGAGTCACTCAATTTTTTTCTTCTCCTTTTAATTTAATTAATTCTTTAAAAATATTATATTTATATTCTATAATAATTTTAATTTTAATTTTTGATTATTTTACGTTTAATGAAAACGATTTTTTATATTTATAACTATATATAAATATTAAGATACTCCTAACTTTTTGTGCTATTTTTAAAAAGTAAACGTGACAGCAACCATCCAACTACCCCTTTTATTATTTAAATACTTACTTAAATAAAAGGTGCTATTTAATATACGAGTGGTTGAATTGTGTGAACGCATTTAAAATAGAGAAAATTATGCGGTTAACCAAACGTGTACTATTTAATTACTCATCATAGTTATAGTTTGCTATAATTATCACTCGCGATTAACATTATACATTAATTACGTGGGCTAACTTCGAATTTGTATAATTAACCATGGTTGTATATATATAATTCGCTAGAATATACAAATACATATGTATAATATATAATTATCAAACCGATATATATATACAATTCACTTCTCTCCCACTCTCTGCCCTCTCTCCCTCGCCTCTCTTCTCCCTCTCCCAATCTCGCTCACCTCTCTCCTCCCTCTCCCAATCTCGCTTGTCATATATACAAATGCATATGTATAATATACAATTATCTAACCGATATACATATACAATTCACATTTCTCCCACTCTCTACTCGCCTCTCTCCTCCCTCTCCCAATCTCGCTTGCCATATACACAAATACATATGTATAATATACAGTTATCTAACCGATATACATATACAATTCACCTCTCTCCCACTATTTGCCCTCTCTCGCTCGCCTCTCTCCTCTCTATAACATGTAGCTATGAATTATAATTATCAAACTATAGCCATGGAGAGTAATTAGGCTATTTTCTATAGGTGAAAGTTTCTCTTTAAAATATTAGTAAAAGTATGACATCTTTATTAAAAATATTGGCAATTTGTCATCTTATTTTAATTTTTTTGAGTTAATTAATAATCAAATATTCATATTTAAATACCTAACACTTTTTTGTGAGGTTAGTTGATAAAATATTATTATCAATTTACAACATGCGCGTGTATATTAATTTAATATCGAGGTGTGTTTTAATATAAAAAAAAAGTGATAATTTGAATAATAACGAATAATCGAGGTATGAAATTTAAATTACATAATTATAAATTATATGTCATGAATTAGATCGCTTTTTTTTTCTTCAAAGGTCCAGCATAGCCCTACATTGCACAGTTCACAATTTCTTAAATTGTTTTTTTAGCCTAACTTTCTTATTGTAGGCATAAGCTGATATTAACTAAATTAAATATACTTAAAGTCAAACTTAATTAATGAAGTTTCAACATTTGGCTAAACTTTCAAGATTTGAAATGTCAAAATAGCTAAACACTCCATCTGTTTCATATTAATTGTCCACGTTATTATAAATAGTTGTTCCAAATTACTTGTAACCCTATAATTAATAACTTTTTAAATTACTTAGAAGTGATCAAGATAATCTTTCGTCTCAGTTTATGAGATCGAAATATTAGAAATATTAGGTTTACTTTTCTTCGGACTTATAGTTAAGAAAGTGACTTCTATTCTCTAGTAATATTGTCTTTCAATTTTCATTAATTTAATATCGAGGTGTGTTTTAATATAAATAAAAAGTGATAATTTGAATAATAACGAATAATCGAGGTATGAAATTTAAATTAAATAATTATAAATCATAAATCATGAATTAGATCTCTTTTTTTTCTTCAAAGGTCCAGCATAGCCCTACATTGCACAGTTCACAATTTCTTAAATTGTTTTTTAGCCTAACTTTATTATTATAGGCATAAGCTGATATTAACTAAATTAAATATACTAAAAGTCAAACTTAATTAATGGAAGTTTCAACATTTGGCTAAACTTTCAAGATTTTAAATGTCAAAATAGCAAAACACTCCATTTGTTTCATATTAATTGTCCACATTATTATAAACAGTTGTTCCAAATTACTTGTAACCCTATAATTAATAACTTTTTAAATTACTTAGAAGTGATCAAGATAATCTTTCGTCTCAGTTTATGAGATCGAAATATTATAAATATTAGGTTTACTTTTCTTCGGCCTTATAGTTAAGATAGTGATTACTATTCTCTAGTAATATTGTCTTTCAATATCGAGGTGTGTTTTAATATAAAATAAAAGTGATAATTTGAATAATAACGAATAATCGAGGTGTGAAATTTAAATTACATAATTATAAATTATAAGTCATGAATTAGATCTCTTTTTTTTTCTTCAAAGGTCCAGTATAGCCCTACATTGCACAGTTCACAATTTCTTAAATTGTTTTTTTAGCCTAACTTTCTTATTATAGGCATAAGCTGATATTAACTAAATTAAATATACTTAAAGTCAAACTTAATTGATGAAGTTTCAACAATTGGCTAAACTTTCAAGATTTGAAATGTCAAAATAGCTAAATACTCCATCTGTGTTTCCTATTAATTGTCCACGTTATTATAAACAGTTGTTTCAAATTACTTGTAACCCTATAATTAATAACTTTTTAAATTACTTAAAAGTGATCAAGATAATCTTTCGTCTCAGTTTATGAGATCGAAATATTAGGTTTACTTTTCTTCGGCCTTATAGTTAAGATAGTGATTTCTATTCTCTAGTAATATTGTCTTTCAATTTTCATTAATTTAATATCGAGGTGTGTTTTAATATAAAAAAAAGTGATAATTTGAATAATAACGAATAATCGAGGTATGAAATTTAAATTACATAATTATAAATTATAAGTCATGAATTAGATCTCTTTTTTTTCTTCAAAGGTCCAGCATAGCCCTACATTGCACAGTTCACAATTTCTTAAATTGTTTTTTTAGCCTAACTGTCTTATTATAGGCATAAGCTGATATTAACTAAATTAAATATACTTAAAGTCAAACTGATGAAGTTTCAACATTTGACTAAACTTTAAAGATTTTAAATGTCAAAATAGCTAAACACTCCATTTGTTTCATATTAATTGTCCACGTTATTATAAACAGTTGTTCCAAATTACTTGTAACCCTATAATTAATAACTTTTTAAATTACTTAGAAGTGATCAAGATAATATTTCATCTCAGTTTATGAGATCGAAATACTGCCAAATTATCTCAATATGAATTTTATTCTTGGTAAGTTAGCAGGTAGTCAAGCATTATTTTCCTTGTATTTCAGTAGTACGTATTAGTATTAATTTCGTAGTTGCTTGCCTTTCGATTTCTGTTGATACATCTTGTTTAGTTAACACATTATTTTATTTATTTATTGGTTTTCTACTGTCCGGTACCCACATTGAAGCCTAACTAAATCTGGATTTGCGTTGGAAAATCCCACATTGGGGGTAAACTCTCCCTAACAAACTCGACCCCGTACCCAAGGGATTAACACATTATTTTGATGTTGTTACTGCTCTTCTTTTCTGAATGCTATGTAATGATTTCGTTATTATTTGATATATCTGCTTTGCGTTTGTATGTTACTTTTAAAGATTGCTTTGTTACGACTTACGAGTTACTTGAGCCAAAGATTTTTCGAAAACCTTCACCCACAATACAGAATCCTCAAGACCTTCATGGAAACTGACTTGGTCTTTTGACGATTCAACAACCCCAAACGACACATGAAGATTAAAGAGACAATCAATAGACAACTATTAAATTTTCGTCTGAAGCATGTTTTCGTCTAAACTTACATAAGATAGAGATCACACTTACTCAGAACCAATTCTCTTAACCATTTTGTTGCCAATATTTTGACAATAAGTAATGGAAAGTAAGGAACTCTAAAGACGAGATCTTTTACACTGTTCTGAAGCGCAATGTCAAACTACTTATCGATCATAGGGGAGAC